AATGGATTTGGATAAGGTTGGGGAGAGATGTCACCACTCCTAAAAACAGATTTTAAAAGGTGAGTGACAATGAGATCAAGGGCCCTGAGAGAAGGTCTGGTGACTATCCAAGAGGCCTAATGGGTGCTGGTACTATTAACATAAGATAATTTACTCTTTTCCCATATCTAAATTTGATCACAGTAGAGGAAACTGACTAACACTCAATAAACTAAAAGGAGGCTGGGTGTGGTGGTTCACACCTGTAATTCCAGCTCTATAGGAGGACAACTTGAGGCCTAGAGTTCAAGACCAACCTGGGCAACATAATGAGACTTTACCTCTACAAAAATATGAAAATTAAAAAGAAACTCGAAAAAATAAACTAAAATGAGCTTGAAGTCTAATTTATAAAGAATGACAAATCTTTCTATCATGCAGTTATCTCACCATCTAAACTAGTCATTAGAAAGTTGCTTGGGGCCCAGTGTGGTGGCTCATGCCTGCAATCCCAGTACTTTGGGAGGCAGAGGCGAGAGGATTACCTGAGCTCAGGGACTGGAGACCAGCCTGGGCAACTTGGTGAGACTTGTCTCTACAATAAATCAAAAAATTAGCTGGGCATGATGGTTCATACCTATAATCTCAGCTACTTGGAAGGCTGAGGCAAAAGGATTGCCTGAGCCTAGCAGCGTGGCCATGAGTGGGCCACTGCATTCCAGCCTGGGCAACAGAGTGAGACTCCAACTCAAAGAAAGAAAGAGAGAGAGAGGGAGAGAGCAATAAAGAGAGAGAGAGAGAAAGAAAGTTGCTGGGGCAGGGGGACATGGAATTCCAGCAAAGGAAAAGGATAAATGGAAAAGATATTCTATCTGGTCCATCTTAAGGCTTATATATTCCTACCCTCCGTCCAAGTTTGTTCTCTTCTTACTAAAATATTCAAGTCTACCACATTTGGTGTCTTTATGCTCTAGATAAGATCAAAGAACCTCTTCAGGGCCTGTCTCCTAATTTTTTTTTTACTTTGTTATACTGTAGTTAAGTGGTCCCCAAATACTACCACTGTCACTGGAACACCTGGGGATACTGTTGAAATTAGTCAGAAGCCTCACACTTGAGATTCTGATTCAGTGTATACTTAGAAAAGTCTGAGAATCCAGACTGCTGGCAAGCTCTCCAGAGTTCCAAGACAGTAATGAGTGACTTTGCAATCTGATTTGGCAGGCAGGTAATGCCCTAAGCCTCCACACCTACTTTAGCATGAGTGGCTTCACATGTGCCTATTTTGTTTTCTCTTCTGCCAAAAACTTGCTTAAACACAGATTTTCAGCACCTTAACAAGAATTGGTCAATTGTTTATCTACGTTAACCTTGACCTTTCCATGAACACAATTTTCTTCAAAAAGGTCGGAAAACAATTTTTTGGAAGCCCACCGTTAAATCATAACCACATTTACACATTCAGGAACTGGTTACTGATCTTCTTCTATGTACTAGGCACTGAGCTAAGCACCAGAGAACAAGAAAGATAAGACTTTTCTGCAGTTATATTCTAGTGCAACAGCAGTGGAATGGGGTAGAAAAAACAAGAGAATAAAGAAATCATTTCACATTGGGGAAAATAAGGCAATAAGGAAAACAAGCACGATGCTGTGGGAAAGAATCTGGGGGAAAACGTAACTTAGAGTGGGAAAAAAAAGACTTTCTATGGAGATGACTTTCTAACAGTGCTAAAGAAAGAAGAACCACTCATGCTAGCTGCTTAAGAGCCTGGATAACACAGTGAAAAGTGGTCAAAGAATTGCAAAACAGGAAATAACAATGAGCAAGGATGGTCAGAGACCATAGGGGTGAAACAGGCTCTGGTGATGGCCAAAGTTTATGGGAAGTGGAGAATTCCTCTGTTAAAAATGAGATGGTCATACTCAGTGATCTATCACAGAAACAAAGAACAGAGTTCCATATGTTCTCACTCATAAGCGGACCCTGAACTATTATAATACTATAAGAAAGGGATTGGCAGTAGTGGGAAACTGTCAGGGGAGGGGGGTGGGGTTGGCAGTTGAGGGAAACAGCTAGGGGAGGGAGGGGCATACCTCATCAAGAAGGGTACCTGCATAATCAATGTTTGTATACCTAACCCTGAATTGTACCCCACATCTTTATAATTTAAAAAAGTAAGAAAACATAAAAATAAAATAACTGTAATTAAAATGGTTACAGGTATTTTAGCAGCTTGTGTTAAGGAATCTGGAAAAGCAGTACTTTATTTTGTTATCAAATAATAGAATCCCAGAAAATGTAAATGCCTTTGTGTTAACTATAGAATAAAATTAGTTATTTTCATAAGTTTACTTATCTTGATAAGCTAAATGATTTTAACAAGTTAGCTTTTTTCCTTTTTAAACTATTTTATAGATGATAGCAACACTTTTATTCATTGTAACTTTAGGTATTGACTAAGGCAGCACTTTGAGAAAATTTTTGCAACATCAATTTTTTTAAATTGACAAATCATACTTGCACAAATTTATGGGATAAAATGTGATGTTTTGATAGATGTATAGAATGTGTTATGATTAAATCAAGCTAATTAACAAAAAAATTAAAATGAGATGGTCAAGGAACTGAGAGTTTGTGGATTTCGGGGTCTCTGAAGGTAATAAGAATAGGGATTAAGAAGCAATGTCTGCGTTAGAAGTTAGAGTGCATAAAAAGGAGGGATCAGTGGTAAAGACAGAAGACGGCATGAGGAGGAGGAGGAGGGAATGTAGGATGCACATGTTTCACAGAAGCAAGAGGTTTTCCTGCATGATGTCCTGGAAGCAACCACAGGTTGCAAGGAAATCGCTCTGTCTTCTGGTGAGAGAAAGGAGTAGTTCAAGGAAGTGAAGTTTCACCTACTTAAGAAAGTGCAAGGGTAGCAGAGTCTTGGGAGCCAGCCAGGTTTCATTTAGAGAAAGTCTTGAGAAACAAACATTCCAGAAGTCTCTGGAGATTAAAGAGAAAGTTGATGGTCACAAAGCAGAAGGTTCAGAGGGCACCCTGAAGAGCTGATTTTGTTATTTTGTTTGTGGGGCAGAGAAGAGAACTGATGAGGACATATGTACAGACACATGAACTATATATAGTCTGGATAGTAATGGACAACTGGGGAACCTTGAAATTCACGAGGTCACTGGGATAAAATATTATTATTATGAAAACTAAACAATAATAACAATTACTACTTATAGTGGTAATAGTAGAAGTAATAGTAGAAATGTGGTAGTTTTATTTTAGGCCTATGTCAAGTACTTTCCATGTGTGTCTACCAATAATCCTATGATTTTTTTTCAAACCTACAGTGGAATTTTATATTTTCATATGTTATATTAATAACATATTATCAGTGACAACTTTATGGACTGCAAATCACTGATCAAAGTAAGGAAAAATACAGGGCTTCAAAGTCATCCTGGCGGTCTCTGGAAAAGACAGAAGACTAATGTTTTTAGAACTGAAGCTCCAAGTACATGGTCTAATGGTGTGGAAGTCTTGGGGTAGCTTTTTTTATGAGGCAATAGATGTTGGTATATGGTGATCAGGGGTTATTCACACAGTCCTCTTGCACTTGAAAGAAGCAGCCCCTTCAAGTTGAGCTGATAGGAGGACCATGATGTCTGGGTGTGGCTCCATTCACAGTGCTTCCTTCCTCTGTTCTTTTGCTCAATAAGCTAGAAAATGCTTAATCATTCTTGAAGACCTAATTTCATTGATTTCACAAATATTTGAGAGCAACTATCATAGGCTATAGACCATTCTAGACTCTGGAGATACAATGGTTTAAATACATATATATTATATATCATATATTATATGTATAAATATACACATATACACACACATATGATCATATATGCATATCTCCCAGAGAACTTTTCTCACCATTCTTACCTTTAGGCTAGTGAGTCATCCATTATTCCCACAGCACAGCATTTATTCATTAATTTTTCCAATAACATGCTAGCAACCCTACATGTGGATCTCCAGTCCAGTCCTCTCCACAACTATTCTTTCCATGTCTAAGTGAAATCACGCTACTTTTCTGCTAAGAACCCTCCAAAGACTCCAAAGACTCTAGTTGACCTAGAGTAAAAGCCAAAGTCCTTACCATTTTTATGCCCATCCTAGGTTGCCACCTTGTAAATTCCATTTTTCTTACCTTCCTTTACCCAGTCACTGAGAGAGTTGTAGAAGAATGTAGTCAGGAGAAGAGTACATGGTAAATGGTCTGATTCATCCTTCTGGCAAGAAAACTACATTTTTATTCTATTCTTGATTCAATTTTGTGGAGCAGGACATCAAATAGACTTTTCTGGATTCCTTAGTCATTCTTCACTTGGGAAAGAGGGAAGGTCTCAGACATGAATGAGATTCTATGACATTATAATTATAGTTTTTAAATTATTGTAATTAACTAATTTAGAAAAATGAAACATTTTCCAATGGATAAAATACATGACTTTTTTGCAAGCACTTAGAAAACCAAATTGGTTATCAGGATTGTATAATTAGCCTTGCTACAATTTTAAGTTGCAATTTATGACTTTGAACTACTCTGTGCATTACAAAGTGTCCCACAAACCACAAAAATTTCAATCCAAAAACAGCACCATTTTGTATCTCTATCCAGATGCATTAACTAAAGCAGTAATGAAGATAATACAATCATTAATATCTCAAGAGTCACAGCACATGGAATGATTGAGTTACGTTCTATTTCATTACAGGCATAGTGAGGACAAAAATCAAGGGCCCTCTCCTCTCTATCCTGTGGATACCATTTTTCATTGTTACATGTTCTGTGAAAAAGCTGACTACAAAATGAATATTGCTAAATTGAAATGCTAAATTGTTCTGGCAGCATATGTGAAATATGTTCTCCTTGGTAGTATTTTAAAACAAATATGTTAAGTTCCTTTTCTAGTATACCCACACATGTGAATGTGCTCTCAACATTTCTCCTTCTCTATTTGCAGAATCTCAAGTTTCACCTGCCTAAGGATCTGAAGGAAAAAAAGGAAAATATTCTACTCAACCCAGAGAGTCCTACTGGGGTCTTAACAAAGACGAGTCACTCACAAGAAGGGAATCAAGCTTTGAGTAAGACCACAGGGTTCCTAACAAATAAGAGAGTTGAAAAACATCAAGGAACTAAGACTCTTTTCAAGGAGTTTAGCAAAATGAATTGGCCAATAGACATTCACCCTTTAAACAAAACTTTAGTCAATGACAATAAATGGAAGAAAACTGATGAGACGCAAGAGAAACGCAGGTCGTTCCTTCAGGAGTTTTGCAGGAAATTCGGTGGAGTGAGTCATCCTCAATCACATCTTTTTCATATGGTATCCAGAATCTATGTAGAAGATAAACACAAAATCTTATACTGTGAGGTGCCAAAAGCTGGCTGTTCCAACTGGAAAAGAGTTCTGATGGTACTCAATGGATTGGCTCCCTCTGCATACAACATCTCCCATGATGCTGTCCACTATGGCAAGCATTTGAAGAAACTAGATAGCTTTGACATAAGAGGGATACATACCCGTCTAAATACCTACACCAAAGCTGTATTTGTTCGTGATCCCATGGAAAGATTAGTGTCAGCGTTTAGGGACAAATTTGAGCACCCCAATAGTTATTACCATCCAGTATTCGGAAAGGCAATTATAAAGAAATACCGACCAAATGTCTGTGAAGAAGCATTAATTAATGGATCTGGAGTCAGATTCAAAGAGTTTGTCCACTATTTGCTGGATTCTCACCGTCCAGTAGGAATGGACATTCACTGGGAAAAGGTCAGCAAACTCTGCTATCCGTGTTTGATCAACTATGATTTTGTAGGGAAATTCGAAACTTTGGAAGAAGATGCCAATTACTTTTTACAGTTGATTGGTGCCCCAAAGGAACTGAAATTTCCCAACTTTAAGGATAGACACTCTTCCGATGAAAGAACCAATGCTCAGGTTGTGAGACAGTATTTAAAGGATCTGACAAGAACTGAGAGACAATTAATCTATGACTTTTATTACTTAGACTATTTGATGTTTAATTATACAACTCCATTTTTGTAGTTTGCATTCATTTTCTAAAATGAATTATAAAATTTACTGTAAGTACTTAATGAGGATGAGCTCAAATCAGCTACTGTAATTTTCCTATAATTCTCTATATGAGAGAAATTTAATAAGTGCAGTTGTCTTGATTTAATGAAGATTTTTCCCAAATAGTATGACACCAATGGTCACAAAGTTATAGGAAAGTCACCTAAAGAAGATATGCAAACAACTTGAGTTGCTCTTCAGTGTTTGGAAAAGAGCTGCTTTTGCATTATGGGTTATAGTGTGGAAGCAATAACCTAGCCAGCTGTTACATTAGCTAAAACAGCCTCTTGAAAAAAGTCAGAAAGAGATCTAAAATAGCATGAGTGTGTGTCTATATCCGGGAATTTACTGTCTCAAATGCATGAATATATTTTTTAACAGTCTGTGGCACATTAATCAAACCATTGGATAGTTTTCTTACACCCTGGAAATCTTTCTATCAACTGTAATTATAAATCCATTTCAAAATGATATTTTGCATTTGGGCATTTTACTTTAGATTGGAAGGCATTATGTGATTTACAGTATAAGAATATAGCAGAAAAAACCAGATGAGACTATGGCTTTTTAAATTCTACAACCAATAAAAAATGCACAACATTCTAAAATCAAAGCAACAAAAGCAACCCTCCTCTTACAGAAGAACTTAAGGGAATTGATTCTGTTTTCTTTTAAGCCTTCCACAAAGAGACAAAATGAACACAAGCACTAAAGATCTACATTTCTGAAGCAGGCAGTTGAGAAGTTTAAGTCTCATCAGATATAAATGTGCTCCTAATTCTGCTTTAATTGGGCAGGGGGGAAATTGTTTCAGGATGGAATAATCATCAAAAACAAAAGTTGCCATTCTGAATATAGACCTCAAACAATAACAAAGTTTTATAAGAATATTATTTGAATCAAAGCATCATGTGCATAGCTTTATATGTGGAATACACTCTGAGAATAGCTTTTGTTTTCAGTTTAATTATTCAGCTTGGGAATGACTTTTTAAAAACTAATATACCACTTCAAAGATAGGTTATGTTCTAGAAAATAAACATAACAAGAGCCCCTAGAAATGTTTTTAATAGGCTTATGCATAAGCAAATTAAGGTATTTTCTTTTTAAGTTTAAATATTCTATACTAACACAGTCAAATACCATTGCATTCTAATATTAAATCAAAGACCTCAAAAAATAGGCCCATGTGTCACCCTTATGAAAAGTTGTAATGCAGTTTGGAAATTTTTTCCAAAGGCCTCTAAATTAGAAAGCACATTTGGATAGAAAACTTATTTTAATTGGTCAACAATCACCCTGAGTTAAACAAACCACATGACATTCAAACTCTGTTAAATGCCTATCTTGAACATGTTCCTCTTCCTAAGCTATCATTTTCCCCTATCCGTAAATATTCAGTAGTGGCTCTCAAAGAACAGTAGTATTAGTATTTGAATACTAATAGACCAAGACAGATACAGTCATACTTATTTCATTTTGATTTTCCATTTCATGGCTGAGTATTCATGAATTGCTTCACTCTTGCACACACCTGCCGTGTCCCATCTGTGTCTCCTAAGGAGGAAGTAAACTGCACTGGGCTGAGAGATCATAAGTATTAAACCTTCTAATCCAACCTTTTACTACTTTTCCACTCCATTAACTCTTGCCTCTAGACCATACACTTAAGCTGTGCTCTCTGTTTTTAAGGAGTTTTACTCTAGAGTAATCTAAATTACATAATTTAAAATTTCACCGAACCACGTTGAGTAGATTCCTAGTAACTTAGGGACATTGAAATTATCTTTTTATGGAGAGAGAAGGGGTGTGGGAGAGAATAGAAAATATTCCAAGAAGTCTGAAATTGTATTCCTAAACTTCCCAAAACTTGTTTTAGGTGGAATCTGCTAAAAAGGATAAAGGCAATTTTCTCAGAGGTATTCCTAAAACCACATAAGAAACAGACAAAAACTTTTTATAGCTTTGGAGAGAAAAAAATGGAAACAATGGTCTTGTCTCTCTTATTTGCATTTCTAATGCATTGAGGAGGGTGGAATGTATACTTATGTGATTGGTTTTGATGGGTAGGAGGAGGGGTGGGGAGGGAAAGCCTAGCCGGTGCTCTTCAGAAAGCTGTTCCATAGTGTTTGCTGTATTTGTTCCTCTTCTGACCCTTTCCACAGAGCCTGTGTAACCATAGGTTGTTCTTCTTCTGCATGGGCTCTCTCATGCCAACTAATATCCTGTATAGCTGGAAGTTCCAGAGGCCATGCATGTTTTTGCCAAGGAAGAACAAACTTTTTATTACGTACCTGCTCTTTGTTTTGGATGACTCATTTTCAAGGTAGGGCCAAAGAAGCCAGTCATCATCCTGGATTCCTTGTTATCTTAAATATCCACTTCATTATCTCTTCTGAATTATTCTGCTTTGCAGGTCAGCTCCCATCTGCCTTTGTCATTTCTGCCTGTGTTGAAATCCAGGTGGGAACATCACTGATTCTTTGGACAGACACAATTTTGTGAAATTCATTTCCTAAAGGCAAGTGACCAAATCCAGACTCATCTTCCAGATGTCCGGTGTTCCCATTTTAACATTAGCGTGCTTTAGGTGTCATTATAAGTCTCCTAATTAAGCCCTAAGGATCCCATTTGTTTTTATAGGCAGCAGTAGCATGATGAGCAGGCCCTTCACTCTGTAACTCCCCTGTCCGGAATTACTATCAGGGTAGCAAGTTGAAAATTAAGTCCAAAACCACTGTTATTTAACCTGTAAACTACCCATGGATATGCATTACCGGCATGATTGTGCCCAGAAATTGCCACAAACTTCAATAGAAACATATGTGCAGGACACTCAATGCTCTGATTTTCTCACATGTGTTTGGTAAAATTTAATGACAATATGAGGCCACTTGCTAAGTTCTCTAACTTTACAGTCTTTAAAATATTCTCTAGCAGAGAACAGTATTGTTATTATTACTGAGAGTGAATTATAATTCAAGAACTTCTTGGATGTTATTTATAATTAGAAAAAGGAAAAAGACTTTTTCATGAATAATTATTCTTATATCCTAATATATGTAGTGTCTAACAGGAGGAAATATATAAGAAGATGCAGAGAATTTAGAAAAATCACATGATGAATTAGTAAAACTTGAAATTAGCCTGGGATTACAGTAAACATCTGACTACTGTGAGCTCTCCTTTGGCCTCTGGGGGCATCTTCAGCCTCTAAGTCTTCATGCAGAATGGTGAAGCAGAGCTTTGCACAACTAACATTCCCAGCATGTTCTGACACTTGAGAAATGGTTGGCCAGTAGTTTCTTTCACCCATGCCAACTCTGGTATGTCTCCCTTTCTTTAATCTCTTCTTTCTCTAATAAAGTTTGTTTTAAAACTTTGGGTGGGGGGAAATGGTTGACAAAGCTGTTTAGTAGTAGCTCAACTATCTGAGAACCTTAGGCTGAGGCTAATTCAACTTAGTTCTATCTTTAGGATAATACCTTCTCAATCTCAACCATAATCATTATACAGTAATAATATTCATAGTCATGACTAACATGTATTCAATACTTACTGGGTATCAGGCACTCTACATGCATTAATTTATTTAATCTCCAGAGCCAATCTAAGATAGGTGCTATGATGTAACCCTCTCCATTCCCATATATAATAAAGGAAAGCAAAGTGTGGGCAAATAACTTGGCTAAAGAGATTCAGTTGATATACAGGCTAGAAGCCAGGATGAAGCCAAGCAGCAAATACCACTAAAAACTCTCGTCTTAGAATATTATAAACAAATACCTGGTTTTGCTTTCTCTTGCCTATGTTCAGAACAACGAAAGACAAAAACCATATATTGGAATCTTGACATTTTATCATTATAAATACGGATGCATGTGTCTGTGTGTGCGTGTGCATTTAGCTAGTTAGTTATCACATTTCAAATCAGTTTATTCCTTTATTCCTGCTGAGTTAAGCTGACAGGTTCAAAGATTCTAGAAGAAATTAGGCTTCCTTCTTCCAACTTTTTTTTTATACTTAGTTGATCATGAGACACAGTGTTTTTAAAAAGAATGGGGGAGGCTGGGCGGAAAGTTCCTGGAACAAATTTAGCTTAACAAAAACAAAATATCATTTTGACAAGAAATTCCAGACCGCTACTAGAACAGTCAAGGTTAAACAGATTCAGAGTCCAGGCCAAACTTCCCTGTATAGGTACTTGAAGCCCCTGCAGATGGTCATGGCTCGAAAAGTAAGACCTCTTATTAGAGACATTCCTGCTAGAAACGAAGCAATCGTGCACTGCCTCTTCTTCCCATGCTCCCATCCCCAGGACTGCATTTAGTAGCCAGATAACCCTGAGCTTACTCAGAAAGACTGTAGAAAAGAATAGAGGAACAGGTTGACTTAAACCAACTGAAAAACACCATGAAAGAAAGTCAAAATAAATAAGTGCTCAGCTAGAAGATGGTAGGTTTTCCCTGGGCTGTGGACACTACCTGAGGAAGACTAAGTCTAGGGAGTTCAATGGAATATTAGCTCAATTGTTTAGTTCTCAAAATTGCCTAGGCAGTCACATCCTAATTTTTTACCAGGCTTATATGCTTCCAGGCAAATGTATTCAAACCTATTTAGGAATCTTTTCCCAGCTCCAAGCCTCTGCTCAAATCTCATGCTGTATTTAGACACTCTCCTCTCTAAATATTCAGAAATTAGTTTCTTGTTAATTGACCAACAGTTCTCTTTAGATTACTTAATTTTGATATCTCATCCCTTCCTGAGTTCTCTGATCAGTGGAAAAGCCAACATGGTTTCCCCGATATGACACGCAGCAGATTCTTCTTCTCTTACCAATAAATGCAAGTACCTCACTTTTTTGCAGGGGGGAGTCCTTGATTTATTTGTTCATATGCTATTTATCCTACTTTATGTGAATATAAAATATCTGTTGTCAGCCAGGTTCGGTGTCTCAGCCTATAATCCCGTGCTTTGGGAGGTTGAGGTGAGTGGATTGTCTGAGCCCACAGGTTCGAGACCTGCCTGGGCAACTTGGTGAGACCTCATCTCTACAATAAATCAAAAATTTAGCCGGGCATGGTAGCGCACATCTGTAGTTCCAGCTACTTGGAAGGCTGAGGCAGGAGGATCACTGGAGCCCAGCAGATTGAGGCTGCGCTGGCCGGGGGACCGGCCACTGCACTCCAGTCTGGGTGACAGAGTGAGATTCCAACTCAAAAACAAAAAAAAAATCTGTTGTCATTGGAATATGTTTTAAGTCTTTCAAGAGGAAAGATACTGTGCTATTTAATTCATGTTATACTGTTTCTCACAAAGCACTCATGGAAAGAGTTACTTTAACAGTAACTCTTGAAAATGTCTTCTACAGCTTCTCCTAGTTATGATGCATACGTGTCTGCCTATAACTTTCAGGCATCCATAGGACCAGTGGCTCTAAAGAGAAGATGTTAGAGCAGGGCCATTGAGGCAAGGGACCTGAGCCACATGCCCATTCTACACTAATAGTCACATCTTAACCTGAAGAATAGGCGTGGGGACAATCATCTTTTCCATTTCTAAGGCCTTTGATTGATTGTTTTGGGAAGGAAATGTTGAAACAAATCCATGATCCTGG